AGGAAGGAAGGAAGGAAGGAAGGAAGGAAGGAAGGAAGGAAGGAAGGTAACATTACAGAAATAATCAAATATAATATCTTAGTTTAATTTCAATTCATTTCAACACTGCCTTTATAGCTCTTGTCATTGTCAGCATTGCTACTGTTAGGCAAAGAACATTTTTAGGATCATCTTTAATTCTGAAAAAATGAAGAAACTAACAGATAACAGATAATCAGAGTAGGAAGGGACCTTATAGGTCATCTAGCCCAACCCTCGCCCAAGCACGAGACCCTACACCATTTCTGATAAATGGCAGTCCAATTTCTTCTTGAAAGTCTCAAGTGATGGTGCTCGCACAACTTCCGAGGGGAGGCTGTTCCATTAATTGATTGTTCTCACTGTCAGAAAGTTTCTCCTTATTTCCAGGTTAAATCTCTCCTTGTTCAGCTTTCATCCATTGTTCCTTGTCTGGCTTACAGGCGCTCTGGAGAATAGCTTGACCCCTTCCTCTCTGTGGCAGCCCCTCAAATATTAGAAGACTGCTATCATGTCTCCCCTGGTCCTTCTATTCACTAGACTAGCCATGCCCAGTTCTTGTAACCGTTCTTCATATGTTTTAGTCTCCAGTCCCCTAATCATCCAGGTTGCTGTTCTCTGTACTTTTTCTAGAGTCAACATCTTTTTTATAATGTGGTTAACATAACTGGATGCAGTACTCTAGGTGTGGTCTTAATAAGGCTTTATAGAGTGGTATTAGTACCTCATTTTATCTCGATTGTATCCCTCTGTTAATGCAATTTAGGATTGCATTAGCTTTTTTGGCTGCTGCTGCACACTGCTGGCTCATATTTAGCTGGTTGTCCACTAAGACTCCAAGATCCCTCTCACAGTTACTGCTGTTGAGCCTGGTTTCACCCAGTCTATATGTGTACTTTTGGTTTTTCTTGCCTAAGTGTAGGACTTTACTTTTCTCTACATTGAATTTCATTTTGTTAGATACGGCCCAGCCATATGAAGGCAATCTGATATTCAGCCTCTAAACTCCTCTTACCCATTCAAAATACTGAGCAGCATCTTGACTATGCCAAAATCTCATCATGTTCTTTAATATGGTGATTATAATATTACATTAAAAGTATAAAAAAAAACTTCCACTGAAAGGAATTGTCAACAATCCATTAATTTTCTGTTAGATTAAATACTGAAGGCCCAAATGCAAAAAGGGTGAATCTGGTAAATAGAAAATGTACAAATAAAGAGACTTCTGCTTAACCATCAAATGAAAACCTTATGAAGATCACAGACTACCATAAGGAGATGGGATACAATAAATTAAAAAGGATAAAAAGTAAATCAGAGTCCAAAATAATAATAATATTTTTTTAAAAGTAAGGGCAGATAAAACAGAAAGTATATATTAAAACAAGACTCTAAAAGGAATCTAAAAGAATTAGTTGGGTGTAGGGAAGTATAAAATTTAGCATGTGGCAGACTATATCCATCACATTACTAGATGTCTGTTTCCATCATCTGACAGATTTTAAGCAGTGCTGTGCAGAACCTGGCAACACTATATGTTGTTGCAGGATTGGTATCTGAAAGCAGTTGGTATCTGTAGAATTGATCTGTGAGACCTGGATATTTGTACAATATTAGTGAGATGATGATAATACAGATATCTCAGTAACACAAGCTTTAGAGAAGCACATGATCTGTTGGTGACCATAAATAAAGAAGTTTGGCATCACTTTAAAATAAGGAAACCTGTGTTTTAACAGAATATGAAAGGAAGATGTTCATGCTAGAAGGAAGATACTCATGCTGATGGAGCAAAAACTATTGTAATAAACGGACACATTTTATTTTATTGATAATGGTTGGCTGAATTTTGAACTAAAAGTTCTGTAAAAAAGGATGAAGAAACCATGCTCTCTGGGGGTTGTTCTCTCAAAGCAACTTGGCAGCTTAGAGTGAATAAATATATTTTGATTCTCCACTGATTATCTGGTGATTTTGACTAAATTCCTAGCTTGAAAATGAACACAGAAAAGGAAGAAATCTCATATTTCTGACACTCTCATAGTTAGCAAATTGCTAACTACTTTTTGCCACTCACACTTTGCAAATTCGGTTTAATAAATCTTTAGAAAGAAGAATCCCTTCAATTCTATATATACCGTGTTTCTCCAACGATACGGCCTCCACCAATAGGAAGCCCCAGCATGATTTATTGGCATAAAATCAAATTAAGCCCCTCCCCCCAAATTAAGGCCCATATTAAACATGCGAAATGGGGGGGAATGGCAGGGGGGGCTTGCCGTTAGGAAGTACTTTGTTGCATGCCCGGATATGGTGCTGCCTGTGTTGGTGGGGCACTTCATATTGGGAGACCTTCCGCCACTGTTGCTTTCCCTTCTC